CCAGTCTGGGCGACAGAGTCAGACTCCAACTCAAAAAAAAAAAAAAACCAAAAAACCAACAAAAAAAACCCTTTCTTGGACAGGCTCGGTGGCTCAGTCTGTAATCCCAGCACTTTGGGAGGCCGAGGAGATTGGATTGCCTGAGCCCGCAAGTTCGACACCAGCCTGGGCAACTTGGTGAGACCGCATCCCTACAATAAATCAACATGTTAGCTGGGTGCAATAGCGCATGCCTGTAGTTTCAGCTACTTGGAAGACTGAGGCGGAAAAATCACCGGAGCCCAGCAGGTCAGCGCTGGGGTGGCTATGAGCATGTCACTGCACTCCAGCCTGGGCAACAGAGTGAGACTCCAACTAAAAAAAAACAAAAAAAACTCTCTTTTGTTAATTTTGAAAAACTGAGAAGATTCAAGTAAATACCAGAGGCTTTGTTTGTTACATCTAACAACTCTCATTCATGGTGGATTGTCTGTCTCTTTGTGTGTCTTGTAATTTGGGGACTGTAAATTCATTTTCAGTAGCGCTTTGCCTTTACAGCTTGATTTATTTCTGTTTCTAGCAGGCTACCCTTGGGTATTACAAGTCCATGACTACTTTAAACACTACCATATGAGCCTCAGGGTCCCACAGCCCCAAAGATGATATGAATTTGAATGCTTAATTAAACCCACGTGAGAGCAGGTCACAGATTACATATTTTTCTTCCCCAGTCTAGGATCCAGATTTAGCCGGAAACATTTCCTTGATATCTATCTGATGCCATGTGTATATTTTTTCTAGGTTATGCTTTTGTTAACTCTGGTGGGCTTCTAAGTGCCAACTCCCTACTGGAGACAGGTCCTAAGCCTCGCCTCTTAACCCTACCAGCTCAAGCCCCTTGGTGACTGAGGTTGGCCATCTTACCCACCCTCCTGTCCCACCCCATGGAAGAGAGTATCCTTTCTCACCTTCCATCCTGGAATTTCCTTTTCTCTTCCTTTTTGGCTGTGGGTTGGCCCCCCTCACTGTCTTGCAAGCTCAGTTGGATACTTAAAGCGATGTTTGTTCTATTTTGACAAGCACTGCTAGGCATTCTGCAGTAAGACACTTTTCAGGCTATCTGGTCTGCTGTGCTGCAGAAGTGGAAGTCAGATCAGAGGCTCTGCAAGGGCCACCTCCTTAGACACTGTCACCCCACTCAGACCTGCCTTCTGCATCAGGCAATGGGAAAGGGCTCGGCAAGCCGGGTCCTGGCCACGTCCCTCACTACCTCCTCGACTTTACATAGGCCACCAAACCTCTCCAAGTCTCTTTTTCCTCATCTATGAAATTAAACTCTTATCTGATTCCTCAGTTTCTTATGAGTCAGAAGACAAAATATAAGGGAAAACACTGTTGGCTGTAGCACTAGCTCCAGATGTCAGTCGTTGTCAGATCCTAGCACCCTCCCAAGCCTAGCTCAGAAACCCTTTCTTCTCGAAGGCTCCCTCTCCAGCTAGAAGCTCACTTCCCTGCCCTGGCTCCTCACCGCTCTCGGGCCAGCCCTTGCTGACACTCTCATAAGCTGCTTAGATCAGAGTTTCTTGTGCACTGGCGCGTCAGCCCCACTAGGCTGAGATGTCCCTGATGGAGGAGACTCGGTTTGCTTCCTGCCTGTGCCCCTGGTTCCCAAACTGGGCTTGGCACAGAGGGGGGCATCAGTAAAGTCCTGTGAACAACTGTAAATCACTGCTGCTCTGGAGTGCTCACAGTCTGGTGGGGAAGACAGACACAGACGGTGACATCACGTGACAGACGGAGGCAAGAGGGCTCTGGAGGCCCAGGGGGCCTGGCCCAGCCTGGTAGTGGTGGTGGAGCCATTGAGAGTTATCATGGGAAGGCTTCCTGAGGAAGGCAACACTTGAGCTGCCTTCAAGAATGAGTAGAAGCCATCCGGGCAGAGCAAGAGAAGGGCAGTTAGAGAGAACAGCATATGCAAAAGCTCAGAGCAATCACGAGAGAAATGACCCATCTGGGGAGCGGTGGGTGGCTCGGGGGGTGGCTCACCAGGGGAGGTGCTGGGGGACACCCAGAGACCAAATGATGGGGGGCCGCCACCAAGCCATGGTGCGGCCCCAAGGAAGGCCCAAACTGGCACCTCTGACCAGAGCCACATGAGGCACGAGGCGGAGACTGTCACTCACCTTGATGGCCTCCATGACGGGCTCATACAGATCCGGGAAGCCTGGGAACCGGAACACCATGCAGTGGACCAGCTCCGCCAGCTGCTCCAGGCAGCTGGTCCCCGAGTTCGAGTCCTCCTTGACCAGAGAGGCCACCATGGGAGGGATGTGAGGAAGGAGCTGTGGGAGCAGAGCTGGGTTAGGACCGCGCAGGATGGAAGTCCCTGCAGAAAGCACCCAGAGCCCTTGCAACAGGGCGGTGTGCCCGCCTGACCCCTGTCCCCCTTCCCAGATGGGGTGCTGAGCTGTGCAGGCAGGTGGTTCCTTTTACCAGACAGATGCACGAAGACACCCGCCTCAGTTTCTCCATCTAAAAAATGGGATAAATGACACTCCCTTCACAGTCGAGGGGTGGACTGGGCCCAAGCCCCAGCTGTTTAGCCTCAGCCAACTGACCTGCCCTGAGCGCCCAGGCCAGCAGGGGTGGGGGGCCACCCGCCCGGGGCAGCAGGCAGGGACCCGTACCAGGTGGAAGGCCTCGTGGGAGTGCTGGAAAGTCAGGAGCATGTACTTGAGGACAGACAAGGCCGCTCCCCGGACGATGGGGTACAGCAGCTTGGAGAAAACCTGGAAGAGAGTCTCTGTCAGGAGCCCCCAGGGTGAGCAGCCCAAAGGCAAGTGCACTCACAGGCCCAAGGAAGAAACAGAGAGACACGGGAGCCAAAGCAGCAAAGCCACGCGGGAGAGAGAACACGGAGGTGCGCACAGACTTGAGTGGACGGACAGAAGGAGAAATGATCCGATAAACGGACAGGCCAGAAGCGACAGAGACACACACACTTGAATGAGCAGGGCAGAGGAATGAACGCAGGGAACTTGAGGCCCAGAGAGCGGCGATGCGTTGGCCCAGGTCACACAGTGAGCTGGGTGGGAGGCCCGGTGTTCTGCTGCCCCGACCCCCAGCACTCCCGGCCAGTGGCTAGCGGGAAAGGCCCCAAGCACAGGCTGGGGCGGGGGCACCGACCTTCTCAATTCTGGTGAGCGAAACCTCGATCAAGATGCTGAACTTCTTCACGGCAGCCAGGCCCTTCAGCAGGGCAATGATCCACCTGTCAATGTTCTTCCCCAAGGGCCAGGACACCCAGTCGATCATCCTGGTAAGGGGAGGGATAGTGACACAGGGACGAGGGAAGCCCAGACACTAGCCACAGATCCTGAGATCCTACACTGACTCACGCCTGTGCAGGGCAGCCCGGGACCTGCGGAGGAGTAAGAAATGCCGACGAGCCCAGCACAGACATTGCCAGAGAAGAGGGCGCCCAGCCGCCCAGACCAAAGCCAGGCCTCTCAGCGCCCCAAGCCTCACCCCTCCGCACTGGGCCGCAGCAGCAGCCCAAGGCTTTCAGCTGTCTCTGCCTGGAAGCGCACTGCCCCTGGACTGGAAGCTCAGGCCCCAGCAAGCCCTTGTCGTGTGACCCGGAGCAAGCTACTTCCTCTCTCAGAGCCTCGGTTTCTTCCTCTGTAAACTGGGGATAATATCTCCCTCCCAGGGTTCTTGCATGGACCTTGCTTATACTTAAGTCGAATTCACCCTGTGCCAGGCACGGGCTCCACCAGCTTTACACGTATTGACTACTGATCCCCACAGCACCCTGCCTGTGTGGACTGAGCATGAAACTGCCACTTAACAGGTGCTCAACATAGCACATCAGTATCATCATTTTTATACTCAGTAGACTGAGCTGTAATGAAGGAGAACAATGAGATCAAAGTAGTAACAATGATAAGAGTAGCTCCCATGAGGTCATTCTATTCTAGGCGCTTGACATGTATTATCTCATTTTGTCCAACGTGATCCTCACAACAACCAAACCTGATGGGTTCGATTACGCTCCATTTTGTCGTAGAGGAAACTGAAGCACAGAGAGGTTGAGTAACGTGTCCAAAGTGACACAGGCAAGAAGTGGTAGAGGCAGGATCTGACCTCTGCTACTTACCTCCAGAGCCCACACTCTTACCCACTAAAGGCAAGGAATCCAGGAAGGCCCTATGGAGACGGTGGAGCCCGCGTGGGATGGAAAGAATGGCAGAGGGAGGCATGCCAGGTGGACGGGGTCTGCACAGGCAAGGGCCTGCAGGGAGGAGGGGAGGCAGCATACTCTGGGACAACCGGACAGGCAGGTGCAGCCAGATGACAGATGAGGTGGGGGGTGCGAGGGCTCTGTGAGCAGGAAGGCACCCAGACTCTTCATCGCATTTGCCAAACTCCGGCAGCCCATCAGGTGCTCCACCTGCTCATCCAACCCACGGCAGCCTGGTGACTTCTTACGCCGCCACCCACCTCCGCTTTTACAGAGGGGGAACCTGAGGCTGAGAGTTCACTGGCACGCCCAGGGTCATGCAGCTGGTACCTAGCCTGACAGCATCACTAGGGCAGGGCGCTCTGTGTCCCCCACATCCAGCCCAGGGCCAGGCTCAGAGCAGGGCTCAAGAAAGGATGGATGACTGAAAAAGCATGAGGCCTGGACCCTCTGACGCTAAACCCAGCCCAGCATCCCCACCCAGGGCAAGGGGGAAGAGAGGGAGGGCCCTTAGCACCCACCTGCTGATGGCAGTCAGCATCTGGGAGTCCGTCACGCTGTCATCATTGCTGAGGTTCCGGACAACGCCGTCCATGAGCTCCAACGGGAGGTGCTGGACCACGCTGGCCAGGGCACTGGACGGCGCTTCCTCCTCTGGAACGAGGGGCTGGGCTGAGCTTAGCAGGGTGGGCAGGCCCCTCCCCTCCCGCACCACCTCTTGACTTCATGTGGTCAAGAAACTAGGCCGGACCTCTGCAAAGAGCACCGCAAGCGACCCCCTCGCCTACAGCACCACAGCTTCTGACTCCGCATCAATGCATTCACTCAAACCTTCACTATAGGCACTGCTTCGGGGCCAGTCCTGTGCGGGGCACAGCAGTGAGGCTCTGGCCTCCAAGCGTGGGTGGAGGGCAAAGTCTTGAGAAGGGGTCACGCGGGAGCTAGCCAGAAAAGGCAGGAGGGTGTGTGGGCCCGGGGAAGGGGACACTCCAGGTGGAACCACACGGACAGGCCTAGGTGAGAAAGGGTATCTAGTCATCAAAATCTGCGGTCTAACTGTGTGAAGACCTCCCTCCCTCACACACAGAGCACACACACGGCCTCGGCTTGTCACCCTGCCGGGTGCTCTTTCCTTCCCCCTGTCAGGCCCATCATCAGGGCAGGCACAGACCTTACTTCACAGACTTCATTTACACCGTAGTCCGAGTAGCCCCGTTGCCAGTGGAGGATCAAGATTTTACATTTCGGACTCAACACCCGCGGGCTCTTGCCTTCCAACCTCTGCCTGTCCAGAGCACCCAGCTCCTGCTGCCGGGTGCCACCCATCGCTCAAGACCTGGCTCTAAAGCCGCGACCTCCATCAACCGCACCCGGCCCAAAGGCCATGACGCCCCCATCCTGCCGGCCCGCCCAGTCCCTCCGGCCAGCCTGATCCACGTCCTCCCGCACTGGCGTCCTGCGCCCCCCACGGGCGCGGGCCCACGGCCGG